TAGTCAAAGAGTCAGCAAGATTCTTCTCAGATTTTACAAAGTCCAAGATTACAACTTTGCCTAACAGGCGTTGTACAGATTTATATCTTATTTGAATATGTCTGTTGAGTTTTTTATTTACATACACTTGCTTTAGAAGCTCTATGGTGGATCTAGAATCAAAGTGAATAGAAATAGAGGGAGAGGGTTTAGGGACCAAAGGAAGTTAAGAGAGAAGATCTTTTAACCATTCTTCTTCTGTGCAAGTGGTATCAAAAGTAATCAATTCAGACTCCATGGTGCTCCTGGCAATCACTGTTTGCTTACAGGATTTCCAGGATACAGCTGTACCACCAAAAGAAATACATATCCAGATGTTGATTATACACTGTTAGAATCTGTGACCCAATTAGCGTCACTGTACCCTTCTATAGCATCAAGGTAACCAGTGTAAGTCAAGTAATAGTCAACTGTGCCTTTCAGGTATTTGAATACTCTTTCTAAGGTAGACTAGTGGTCTTGGCTAGGGTTGCTAGTATACCGGCTCAGTCTCCCTACAGTATAAGCTATATCGGGTCTGGTCCGGTTGGATATGTATAAGAGAGATCTAATAAGCTGAGAATACTTCAGCTGAGAGACAGGTTCACATTCTTTCTTCTTCAAGGATATTGAAGAATCATAAGGTGTGGAAACAGGTTTAAAGTTATGAAAGTTGAATTTAATCAGCATTTTCTCAATACTGTGAGAAAGACTCAAAGATATTCCTCTAGAAGTTATGAAAGTTGAATTTAATCAGCATTTTCTCAATACTGTGAGAAAGACTCAAAGATATTCCTCTAGTGTCTCTAGTGATTTTCATTCCAAGTATCATATCAGCAAGACCTAAGTCTTTCATGTCAAAGTTTTTGGATAGATAATCCTTAACCATTAAGATTAATTCAAGAGTTGTTCCAAAGATAAGGATATCATCAACATAGAGACAGTATGACATAGTTATTGTTTATCACTTTAGAGTAAACACACTTGTCGTGTTCATTCATAGTGAAACCATATTCCGCAATGACTTTGTCAAATTTCTGATACCATTGTTTAGGAGCTTGTTTAAGACCATACGAAGATTTAACAAGTTTACAGACTTTGTTTTCCTAACCCTTGGCAATGAATCCTTCAGGTTGGTGCATATAGATCTCTTCATCTAAATCACCATTCAGGAAGCAGTCTTGACATCCATCTGATGTATGATCAGCTTATGGATAGCAGCAAAGGCTAGTAATACTCGAATAATGGAGATTCGGGCTACATGAGAATAAGTATCAAAATAATCAATGCCCTTTTGTTGAGTATAGACTTTAGCTACTAATCTAGCTTTAAATTTATCTATGGAACCATCAGCTCTAAGTTTCTTCTTGAATATCCCTTTACAACCAACATGTTTACAGCCTAGAGGTAAGTCGGTGAGTATCCAAGTATGGTTTTCCATGATAGATTTAATCTCATTATCAATGGCTTCTTTCCAGAAAGAAGATTCAGGTGAATCCATTGCTTCTTGGAATGAGCTTGGATCACCTTCAACAAGAAAGGTAAAGAAGTCTTCTCCAAAATCCTTTTAAATTCTACCTCTTTTGCTTTTTCGAGGTTCAATATCAAACGGCTGAGAAGAACTGGAAGATCGTAAATCAGAAGGAATAGATGAACTAGGATTTTCAGAGATTTTGGATTTGAAAGGAAAGATGTTTTTAAAATAGACTGCATCTCTAGCTTCAATGATAGTGTTATTGGATATGTCACTGATTTCAGAGTTAATGACCAGAAATCTGTTAACATTGCTATCTAGTGTATATCTAATAAAAGTAGCATCTACAGTCTTAGAATCAATTTTTCTCTTCTTAGGTTCAGGAATAGCTACCTTAGCCAAGCAACCCCAAACCCGAAAGAAGTTCAACCTAGGAGATCTCCCCTTCCAATATTCATAAGGAGTTGTCTCAGAATATTTCTGGAGAATCCTATTGAGAATGAAGCAAGCAGAAAGAAGAGCTTCACCCCAGAGATTTTTAGGTGCTCCTGAACTGAGTAACATACAGTTTACCATGTCTATTAGGGGTCTGTTCTTTTGTTCAGCTACCCCGTTAGACTGTGGTGTATAGGGAGCAGTAACCTCATGAATAATATCGTGTTCTTAGCAATATTCAGTCATATGATTTGAGGTATACTCCCCCCCACGATCAGATCTTAGAATCTTGATCTTTCTGCCAAGTTGGTTCTCAGATTCAGCTTTATACACCTTAAACCTATCTAAGACTTCATCTTTAGTTCCGAGAAGATAGGTGTAATAATATCTGGAGTGATCGTCTATAAATGTCATAAAATATCTCCTACCTCCTCGGGTGAGAACTCGGTTTGAGTCACACACATCACTATGAATTAATTCGAGAGGTTCGGTGTTTCTAGTTATAGACTTCAATGGTTTTTTAGTGTGTTTCCCTTGAACACATATCTCACACTTAGATGAGGAATCATGAGAGGATTTAGGAATAAGATTCAATTTGATCATTCTTTGCAAGGTTTGGAAATTGGCATGTCCTAGTCGTCCATGCCAGACATCACAAAACTCAACAATTTGTGCAACAAGAAACTCAGAAATTTCATCGGAACTGGAATTGTTTACATTGAGTTTGAAAAGACCATTACAGATAAAACCTTTTCCAATGAATACATTATTTTTTGTAATCACAAATTTATTTGATTCCTTGACAATCCTAAAGCCATCTCTAAGGAGAAGAGATTCACTTATCAAATTGCGACGGAGAGAAGGAACATAATGGACACCTTGCAGATTTAGAGCTTTCCCAGAGGTCATGGTGAGCTCTATACATCCACTTCCAATTATTTGTTTGGTGGAGTCATCTGCTAAGCTTATGCTTCCTCCACATGATTCCTGATAATTTGAAAATCAAGAGCGATCATTGCAAACATGAATACTAGCTTCGGAATCCAAGTACCAATCGGTGAAAGAAGTAAGGGAATTCACAAGATAGGATGAAGATGCTAACTTGAAGGAAGTTGGATTCTCTTCAATCATGTTAACTTTGTTGGATCAATTTCCTTTAGGAGCAGGTTTAGCCGGTTCCTTCTTCCGAAAGAAACAGTTGAGAGCCAGGTGGTTGGTTCTACCACAGACATAGCAGAACTTTCAATCAGACTTATGCCTGGAAGAGTAAATATTGGATTTGGAAGAAGATTTGTTGAAGGATTGATGATTTTTCTTGAATTTCTTTCCTTTCGGTTTGAAATTCTTAGATTTAGGCTTATCCTCTACCAAGTTCACTTTAGCTTTTGATTCAGACTTGGTTTTGAAATTTAGTCTATGCTGGTCTTCAATACGAGTAGCCTTGAGGGCTTCAGTTAAGGTTAGATCTCATTACTTGTGCCGGAGATCTCTAGCAAATCTAGACCAGGATGGAGGGAGTTTATCAATCAGACAGGAAACTTTATAATCATCAGTAAATATGTTTCCTTTTGATTGGAGATGACGAAGGAAATCTTGGAATTCATGAATTTGTTCATTAATGGGTTTGTCATCAACCATCATGAACTTATTGAAGGAGGAGGAGGTGAAACGCAGAATTCCGGCATCATCATAGTCATATTCTGCTTTAAGAGCATTTCATAGGTCCTTAGCACTTTTGAACTAATAATAAATGTCATAGAAGTTGTCCGCAAGTGCACTAAGAATCCTATGACAACAATGATAGTTGATTTCTTCTGGTTTCATAGAACTAGAAAAGGAGCTAGCGTCAGAATCAGAAGTGGAAGGAACAGGTTGTTCAGGATTAGGAGTCAAAAGTTGAGAACCGCTAGTTGAAGACTCGGGAATGTCTATAGCATATAAGAGACCTAATGTGGTAAGCCAGTATCGCATCTGATTAGCCCACCGTTTATAATTAACACCGGTGAACTTTTCAGATTTGACACTTTTGGAATGATCAAGGTTAGCCATAAGTCCAATTTGAGTTTACTAGTCTAGGTATTTGGTATCTGAACAGGTAAATATTTTTATCAATATCACTCAACTAGTAACTTAGAGGATTATGACTTAGGATATGAACTATATAAAAAATCTGCACTAGAAATAAAATTTCAGAACTATAGATTTGAAAAATTGGCAGAAGATAATGATTGCAATAAATAAATTTTTTTAAATGAACAGTAATTTTTATGTAGTAAATAAATTAGTAAAATGTAATGAACAGTAAAGTTTTAAACAGAAAAGTAATAAAGCAATTAATTAAATTCGGGTGAACAGTAAACCCGATGAACAGTAATGTTTTTTTAACAGAAAATAATAAATCAATTAATTAAAACAGTAATTTCAAATTATATATTAACAGCAAGAAATTAGTCTATCTTCTAGATTGCTGTCAAAAATAAAAACAAATAGTATAAATCTGAAATTAGAGGTTAGAAAAATCAGGCCTGAACGGGTGCAGTCATGAATACACTGTCCTAGAAGATAGAGGACCCGCCTATCGTTCAGGCGCAGTCGATCCTCTCCCCCTAGCGGTAAAAACTCCCGAAAAACGGTCGGCCTCTGAACTCGGGCGTAAGTAGCAAAGCTTCTGCTCAGATGAAGATAGTTGCCCAAGAAAAATTTAACTGTAACTAAAAACTTTTAAAGAGGAACTTAGAGGAAGAAGATGAATTAAGCTCTAGTTTTTCTCTCTTCTTTCTGAGGACGAGAGGCTGACTTTATATAGGACTCGAAGAGTTGCTCGTTACGCCCAATCTGCGCCCTCCCCGCGTCCGTTACGCCCCATCCAAGTAACTCCTCGCGCCTTACTCTCCGCATCCGTTACAAACGGGTCAATCGGAAGAAACGGTCAAAAATAAAAACCCGTGAAGCAAAAAGAAGTGTGCGTGTGCGATGTGACACGCATCGCGGCAAGGCGTGGCATGCACGCACACGTGTATGAGTTATGCAAAACCCACAAAACCCAAAATACTATTCAAGGCCCAATAAAATGTGAACCAATATAAACCTCTTGAACTTCCTTCCATTTTCCGATATGGGACTATTCACAAAGGCAAAATTGCCTTTTCATGAACCAAAAGTCCAACAATGTATACATGCGTAAATGCCTACAGAGTAAAGGGGCAAAAAGGACACTCATAATCATAGCTTAGATGTACAATACCCCGGTACAAGCAGACAATATGGACCGTCGTAATACGTTCATATTTGGCATTAAAAAGAACGAGATATGAAATGATATGAAACAAAATGCAGAACAGGCATAACTTGTTGACGAAAACACTTAATCTACAAATTATAACAAGCCTCAGTCTCATCTTGGCCCCTTTGGCAACACCAACTCATACATGCATTTACGCATCTGGAAGTTTGTCCTTCAAGTACTTGAGGACTGCTTTCGTGCCTCGATCCAAAATAGTGCGTCGAATGCTGCAAATGATCAAACACCTTCTATGATCAAGTAAAGATAATGATCAAACACCTTCTATGATCAAGTAAAGATAAAGCCCAATTCGGAAGAAAATGCAAGTGCTAAATGCGCCTAGTTACATATACGAATAGATTTTAGTTTGCTTCAACTTATTCAATTTTCTACCTTTCAACATAACATGATTTTTTTTAATTTAAATTCTTTTCAGATGCAATCAGGTGACTCGGGCAATTTTCATTGGATACAGACCTCTTTATTGCAAATGAAAGCGAACAATCCACTTCTTCAGTGACAATCATCTGTTGTTTTTAGCGAATGATTATACTTTTATCTTCATAAAAAAGTGAAAAATGAGCACAAGTCAAGAGTGCATTGTGGTATATTAGAACTCATAACCATTCCGGATACAAATTAACGCTTATTATACAAAAAGCGGTCTCTTAATTGCCAAAAGATAAGTATGTAGGATTCCAGATTCATTTTTATTGGAATCAGAATTCACCCCTATCAGAAGAAAAGAGTAGTCACCCGAGAAAATAGTTTACAAAATGAAAATAGTTCACTATACCTTCTTAATGGGTTGCCGTCAAGTTTCAAGACCTGTAAGCTAGGCTCAAGCAAACCCTGATGAAGAAAATTTCAATTTCAAATGTTGGCAAGAAAAAGAAATTCTACAGAATTAACATATAAACATCAATCTTTCTGATTCAGGCAATTGTATGCAGTTAAACGCGATGAAAACAGGAGCAACAACCATGGAAAATTTCTATCTTTTAAGAGCTATAGACACAAGTATTTCTACAGAATTAACATAAAAACAGCAATCTTTCTGATTCAGGCAATTGTATGCGGTTAACGCAATGAAAACAGGAGCAACAACCGTTGAAACTTTCTGTTTTTTTAAGAGCTATAGACACAAGTATTACCGATCCAATAACAACAGAGAGCAGATAAGGATAGGGAAAAAATGGGTAAACCTCGTGAGATACCATACAAGTACACATTGTACTTCTCGGGATTTAAGTACTGTTAGGCCTTTACAATAGCATGCAGATGAAATCAGTAAAATAGGTGCAGAAGCTGGAAGCAAACTCTTGCAATAAATGATCACCGTTTAAGCAGGAACCATGCGTTATTCTCACTTTCAGTATGCAATTTCTTTTGGTATCCAGATACAATAGGTACTATCTAGGCAAAATAGTTACAAATACATATCTACATGAAGCCGATTGAGTAGAAAGAAATAAATTATTGCTATTTAAACAAACATATGTAAACATAAGTCAGAAGACAGACCAGCTCTGGAGGAAGTGCGGTAATGTTGTTGTCAGACAGGTCAAGTTCTGTAAGAGAAGTTAAATCCTTGATGTCCTGTTTGCAACCATGAAAATATGTTAAAGACTAGAAAACTGGATGTTGACATGCATTTCTAGACGCAAGAAGAGAGAGTTGCAAGCTAAAACAACTGGAGAAATGTCTTCATCTTTTCTTAGTTCATACTTAAAAAAGGGTTAATTAGGGATAGACCCCCTGTACTATCACCCAATTGCAGATAGACCCCCTAAGTGTCTTTTTTTTAACTCTTTTATCCACTGGAGATCTATTTGTCCAAAAAAAAGAGTTAAATAAAATTCATTCAGGGGGTCTGTTTGCAACAATAGAACTTCAGGGAGTGTATCTGCAATTGGGTGATACTACAGGGGGTTTATCCGCAATTAACCCTTAAAAAATCCAGGCTATACTAGGAACCAAGCTAAATATTAAGACTCAATGTACAATTTACCCTCACCAAGTACATTCTTTGCTTATTCTTAGAGGTCACAAGCAATACCTCAGGAATGCATACGAGTGAATTCTGACTTAAGTCAAGAATCCGCAGTCGTTTTAAGCTCATTAAGCCTCTTGGAAATTCATTGAACTTCATCCGCCTGTTCATTTAGAATAAGTAATGTAACTAATGTTTCAACATGAATTTAGTAATATAAACTGCTACAGAATGAATTCTGACCTCAGATAAAGTTCTTGGAGCAGTACCAATCTAGATAATGCAGAAGGGTCTGGCAATGAAGATGCATTACAGCTTAGATCCAATACTTCGAGCTTGGAGAGGCTTTCAAGGCCATCCGATGGAATCTATAAGTGAATAAATCTTGTGAGTTCCTTAAAAATATTTGAGAACCTCAGTAGACATCAAGACATTAAAATAAAATAAAAATGCACAGTGTGGTAGGACTTATGATTATTAATTTTTTCCTTTCTCTCTCCAGAACCTATATTTGACCGTGTTCTGTTGTTTCCCTTGGTTTTCAGTAAGATATCTGCTTCCTATTCGATAAAGGCTAGACGGATTTTTTTTTATAACTTTTACCTGTTTTCTTGTAATTGTTAAAAGTCAAAATAAAACTCAAGTTCTAGAACTTTCAGTACCAAAGTGTTGATAAGGAAGTTTCCGCTTGATTAGCTTTCAAATTGAAACTGAGAAACACAAAGTTCATGATGTGAAGATGATCTAACTTTTTTGTACGAATGCTAGATACCTCATCTTTTCTAGCTTATGCTCGTGAAGGTTTTATTGTTTAATTATGTACCTTAGAATATAATAATGGCATCCGCATATTGAACAATCACAATTTATAACTGAAATGGAAAACCTAAAACAATGAAAGATGTAATGTGGGAGCTATCCTTCTACTTACTGCAGCGTTGTCAACTGTCTCAGGTAATTCAAAGACAAAACCAGAAAATAACTTTTTTAGAATGAACACTAACAATTTCTTAATCGCACAAGTCCTTACATATTTAGAAATTCCATCAAGTGTCCTAATTTAAAACTACTTTCTACATATATAAGTAAGGTGAGATACAAACAAATTGCGTAATTAGAGTCCCGAAGAAATTGAGCTATATTTTTTCTGAGGAGAACAAACTAGAAATAGTGGTGAAGGAGTTGCACTCGAGTAAAAGAACTCTCCATGAAGTTGAAATTTGTAACGAACAAGGCAAAAGAAGCTGATGTTGAAAGATTGGTAATTCCAATCAAGTGTAATTGTAAAAGTAAACTACCAGCTCCTTACATTCAGTAATGAATAAAGCCATTGATTATAAATCAAAACATATTCAACGTGTAGAGAAGCATTACATGTTACATAAGAGAAAGCTTAAAACTTTGGCCAAAAGAAATAAACGAAAAGAGAGCTGCAATCATGAACAGCCATACCGATGGAGTACAGAGGCATCAGTAAGGAGTCGTCTAGCATCCAAAGACAAGGAAAAGCGATATTCTTTTTAAAAAAAAGTTGTAGATAATAATATACTAGAAAAACTTGTATCAAGATTGTAGATCTTCATAAGAGCAATGAAGGAGAATATACAGCTGGAACTAAAAAATGATCAAGAGACTATTCATTGTAATAATTTGTAATAAAGATAAGATCGGACAACCGAGATATGCATAACCTTACCTGTGCCAAGGGATTATTGTCCAGTTTCAAACAAGAAAGGTTGGAAAGAGATGCCAATACTGCACCAGGCCATTCTTTTATCTTGTTCCCAGAGAGTATCAAAGCCTGCACACATTCATGCATGTCAGATCAAATTTGAAGGTACTTTAACCTGACATGTTTTCAAGTATTGGGTTGCAAATTTCCAAACAATTATAAAGCTTAATTGCACTTAAATGCCCTACAGTTTCCCCTACTATGCACTTATATACCCTTTCTTGTTTTTGGCAGCACTTATATGCCCTAATGTTTTTAAAACTTGCACTTATATACCCTAAATTGTTTTGGCAGCACTTATATACCGTAAAGTTTTTGAAATTTTGCACTTAAATACCCTCATTCATGCAAACTTGAGGGTATTCAAGTGCGGGGTTTAAAAATTTTAGGATATTTAAGTGTAAGTTCTAAAAACTATTGGGTATATAGTGTTGCCAACTTTCCATAAACAAGTGAAGGCTAGGTACCACTAATACGGGTGCGGACACGGTCACGGACATGGGACACGACAAATTTGTAAAATATAGGATACGGGGACACAGCTATGTATATATAGACACACCACCCTACGCGGGCGCATGCACCCAAGCACACACAAGCACACATGCACGCATGCACATGCCCACACACCCACCCACACCCACCCACACACACACCCCCCACACACACACACCCCATCCACCCCCACACACAGAGACACACGCACACCCACACGCACACCCGCAGGCACGCACGCACGCACGCTCGGCGTAGACGCATGCGCGCACACGCACGTACGCAAACACAGACACGCGCGCGTGCACACGCACACACATGCGTGCACGCATGCACACGCACACAGACACACCAACACCCGCACGTGCATGCAAGCACACATCACCCATCCACCCCCAACCACGCACGCACACGCACACACGCGCGCGCTCGCACACACCCCACACACACGACATACATACATACATTTAACACATTAGATCAAATAATGAATTAAAATATTCATAACATTTGTATGTTTCTTTCTATTATTTATAACAATTAAGAATCAAGATATATCAAACTAAGAATAAGGTTTAACAACAAAAGTTTAGTTTTGATCACATGGGATAATATGATAAGTATTTTTCAAATATTTAAGTAATTGGTTTTAGTTTTCGGCTTCAAAAACAATTGGTTTTGAACCCAGTGTTACCAAAGAAACTAGTCTAGGATATAAGCAATAGGAAAATTGGGTTTTGCTTTGAACTACACGTGTTCATGGCTTGTCCGCGGAGAATCCATGTCCAACACGTGTAGGACATGGACACGGCATCCAAAGCACCATGTCCGAGTAACCTAGAGTTTGGGTATACAAGTGAAAGTTTTACGAACTTTAGGATATACAAGTGCTGCAAAAAACGAGTGAGGATATATAAGTGCAACATAGTTGAACTATAGGGTGTTTGAGTGCAATTAAGCCCAATTGTTAGTATGGGAAGTTAAAATTTCAAGGTAACTTCTGTAGAAGAGTCCTCGACCAAATTTTTCTAGGACAGGTTAAAGGACACAACACAAGCCAGTTCATATATCCACAGGGCTCGAATTTAATATTGTAGAAAATGAAACTTAAAACCAAGTCGCTGATCAAGATGACAACAAGTTTGACCTGAAAGACAAATGTAGACATGGCTCACTTTGGCTTACTCCATTCAGGCAGTTTTTCCAAAGATGTTTTAATGATGACTTGAAAAATAACATCATAAATAAGCAGTGTGATTCAAGGAATCAATAAGTGGCATGCTTAAAGCTTTCAGTGAAACTCAAACCGCATTAGAGAAACTTATTACGCATTTCCTTGGCAAATGGAATTTACATATCAGATGCGGACCTTAATAACAAGCATCTAAACAGTGTGCGTAATTTTATTCATGAAAATTATCACTGAATATTAGGTATGACATGTTTCCATGATGATTGACATTCATTAAATGTCACAATGAAACTTGGGAGAAGCAATCAAATAAAGGCTAAGAAAATAGAATGTTGTGTCTAAAGCTAATTTGAGTTTATGACAGCAAGGTTGAGTGTTTAACATATTCATTAACTGACCTGATTGATGGAGAAAAAAAATACTGGAGGAACAAAGGGATGTTTTAATTGATTTGGAGAAAACCTGCAACTTTTGTAATTTTTTTAACTTATTATTTACATGCTTTGATATAAAATTTAAATGTTCCCTCCTGCGGAGATCCACACTCCAACCTTGTGCCAATATTATGTTAAGTAGCAATACTTACAAGGGATTCCTATAGCTTGCGAGTTTCATGGGATAGTAAGTGGATGACCATCCTCGTGTACATTCAACTTGAAATTACAAATCAGTTTACTTTTAAGAACAGAACATTTCTGAATGTCCTAATAAAAGAGTTGCAATCAACTAAATACAGAAAAACATTAGCATTTAACAATCATGGACATTTCTTTTTATATAAATCACTATGACTTCATAGTACCTGAAGTGAGGAACAGGTGGACAGCTCATATGGTAGTTCCCCAATTGAATTTTTAGAAAGATCTACTTTCTCCACTTCACCTTTCTCCCATACTGTTGGTGGGACATCGGTTAATCCTAGCCCACTTAAAGATAACTCCTGCAGGATCAGATACCAGGTAAGACATCTACATTAAGTGTATAACGATGATACTTAAAGCATAAATGTATGAAAATAGCCCCTTACTTGTACAAGTTATTATTATGGAAAAATTAAATTTAAATGCAGAAATTTCTTTGTTTAGTTCCAACAGCAATATGATGTAATGAATATAAAAATCACCTCCATGTGACATCAAAAAAAAAAGAGAGAGAGAAAGATAAAGAGACAAGAAAAAGCAGAGCTCCTATCTTGCCTCCCAACATCACAAGGCTTTTTTGTTAAGAGGCTTCCCACCAAAGTTACCGACAGCAGTAGCATCGCGTACTATTTGGGGCTATAGCGGCAAAAGTGTAAAGTTAAATAGCGGTCCAATTTAAATATGTATAAATATTAAAAAAAGAGAAATTAAAGAAAAAACTAAAAACTCTACAAATGCATATTTGATGATCTATAGAGATCCTAAGCATGAAATAGACGGGTAACAATCACATAATATTAGCAAAAGTACTGTACAAATGAAAAAACATACATGCCTATAAATAATACCGTTATTTATATATCCCATTCTCTCAACATTCAAAACTCTAGTAGAAAAGTAACTATAGAAAAACATTGATTAGTAGCAACATAATTGTATTAACTATTTGAAACTTGACATAAAACTGAAGTTTTTAAGCATAGCTAAATGAGCACTATTTACCACTATTTTGCTGCTATTTTCCGCTATTTACCACTTTCGAGTGCTTTGGTGAGCGAAAAGCACTCACAAGCGCTATTGTTCACAAAAATCAATGAAATCGTAGTGGTAGGCTCCACTACCGCTATTTG